AGCGAGATGCGAGAGCATTACCTAGAGTTGTTTGCTCCAACGGACTTCGAGGACGAAGTCTAATTCAAGTGGGGGAGATTTGTAACACCTGGAAATTTATAAGGTATTATTTAATTATTTGGTTATTTATGTAATTCTATTTTGGGCCTTTGGAGGATTTGACTTTGTCATTTTGGGCTAAGACAAGGCCATACGCGGGGCGTACAACCTTGTGTACACGGGGCGTAGATAGGTTAAGTGGGTTGCGGAGCCATGCACGTCTGCATGGCGTACAAGGATGTACGCACGACGTACATGCTCAGACCCAAACCCTAATTTTTAGAGTTCAAGCCCTATATAATCACCTTAAGTCCCAAGAGTTTGCCTCTTTATCAGCCTCCATTGTCCTATAACCATAATCTCGAACCCTAATAGCATCTTTGAGTGTTCTTCACCTTTTTGGGGTGTATCTTTGGTTAGTTGGTGCCTTTGGTAAAAGAATGACTTGGTGAAGAAGATTTGTTGGATCTTGAGCTTGTGGATCTAGAGACTAGGCACCTTTCTCAGTTGCGGGGCATGATGCACTCATTCGGGCGGGGCCCATTATGTGTTTGTTTATGTATGGTATGTGGTATTTTAGGGAATTCACTAAGCTTTGTGCTTACGGTTTTCAGTTTATGTTTCAGATACTTCTCGTTCCAAAGGGAAGAGCCCAGGATGATTGCAGAGCACACACCACTCGATTTCGCATTTTTTTATTTACTCTGATGATTGATGATGTATTGATACAATTTGTTTACCTTGGTTTATGACAATGATATGGTTTACTATTTTATTAATCTAAAAATGAAAAGTTTTCGGGCCTTATATTTGGGACGTTTCACATTTTACAATATGCTTTATATTGTTATGATGATTACGATTAAGCACTTTACCAGTTAAGCATATTATATAACACGCAATGATATTACCTAATAAGTTGAAGTTATAATGATTACAATTAAGTCATTAATAATATTAATCACTTTTAAATGATATTATCATGAAAATAAAAACATATTAAGCACTTACCAATTAAGCACTTTACAATACAAACCCATAGCAACTATTGATTAAGCAACAAAACAAAATTAAGCACTTATCATGAAAATAAAAACACATTAAGCACTTATCAATTAAGCACTAAGCACCTATGTAGTCAATCACGGTGATATAGCGGTTAGTGGAGTTAAAGAACCTTGATTTTCAAAATAGTGGTGGTCATCACAATAGCGGTATTATAAGCGCTATTAGATAGCTTCCATTTTTGGGCTTTTTTTACATAAAAAACGTTTTTTGTGCCATTCTATTGAATAAAATTGTTTTTTCTTACCCCAAACCAAAACTTTTGTGTCACTCCATTGAATAAAATTGTGATTCTGTGATTGTGGCAACTTCCATTGAAACCATATATGCGTTGTCTTGTAAATATTCTTGAAGACTTGAAGTACTATAATATCATTTACTGTCAATTTGCTTAACCATTTTATTTGCTAACTATGATTGTGTTGAAGTGTGATAAAATACTAAGTATTGCTTATTTTTTTCTTGTTGATTGTGTTAAATTATGATTAAGTGTGACATTGGTAACCTACTATGAAGTATGACTAACTAATTATGGTATGTGAAATATGATTTACTGATAAACTAATTAATTGGATTGGGTTGAACTTTGACGTGTGATTAAATAAGTAATACTATATATATATATATATATATATATATATATATATATATATATATACATATACACTACTAGAAAACAACCCTTTAATGACACGCAAACAATGACACACACTGATAGAGGACACACATTTGTGCGTGCCCTAAAAATCAATGTCAGTTTTCCAAAATTTGAAGGATAGAGGACACGCATTTATGCGTGCCCTAAAACTAGTGTCCAACAAAAAAAATTAAAAGCACGGAGGGCACCTATCATAAAAAAGTGTGTCGTGTAAAACTGTCGTTTTATATTTTTTTTTTCACGAATGCGCGTTCTTCCATTTTTTTAGTTGCCAAGTGGGGGAATGAAATCCCAAAAAATTTGAAAACCTCGCCTGATACTCTCCTCCTTCTTCTTCGTATTTTGTAAAATCCTCTTCCAAAGAAACCCTAAAAGGATTGTGTGGTTGTCGATCTTTCTCCCTTTCATATTTTTGGAGCTCTACAGCCATACAGAGGTCAACGACGGTAACTATCCTCTTTTCTGCACCATTTTCTGCCCTTGAGTCAACTTTATTTCCCTAATAGCGAGCCCTAAGAATTATAAGTATTACAATGGTTTTCAGCCATTCGATGCTTCCTCATATGGCAGCTCACCACAAAATCTCCCTATTTACCGTTTTATATTCGTTCTTCGTCCCTCCCCCATTCTCCTATGCTCCTCCATATTCTCCCCACGTTCGCCTTCATGATTCTCTCAACCACGTTCCATATAAATAGATGGGTTGTTGACTAGAGACCGGTTGTTGCTCTCTCACCCTACATTCAATCGATTCTCTCCAACAAATACCAGGTAAAACTTAATTTCATGATCTTGTGCAACATTTAACCTTCTAGTCCGTGTGACTGGAATCTTTTAGGTTCTCTTTGTTCCACTTCTCTTTGTTTCATCAGAGCTTACAAAAGTTTCTCTGGGTTATTGTATGCAGGGATCAAAGGAGTGAACCCAGATTGTACCTCTAGAAGCAAGAGTCGTAGCAACTCTTAGGACACTTGGATAGTTTGGAATATCTGTGAAAAGTTTTAAATAGAGAATGGGAGTGTGGAAGCCTAAATTAAGTTTCGTTTTCAATTATGAACAAGAAATTCAAGTCGTCTTCTTCTTCTTTTTCTTTAGGAAAGGGTAATTTAGGCATTTTTAGCTTGGATTCGTATATGACAACGATTTTATATGTATGAGTTGTAGAAGTGAGCTATATGGCAACTGTAGAGTCTCTCTTGCTTGGATCCTGCATATTCAGATTAACTCGACCCATGGAATTAACATCAAGGTTCATTGGAGGACCACCACCTGGCATATATAACGAGCGTTCATAAACACTCTTCTGAAGTCTCTCTTGCATTGAAAGATTCCGCTCAAAATAACTCAACTCGTCTGAAGGCAGTCTCTGTTGTTGCTGATAAACATCTAAAGGGTTGAGGCCACTGGAATTGACTCGGTGAATCCCACTAGCACTTCTTAGAAACTAAGTGGTTTCATCAACAGGCCCAGGCCAGACAGAACCAAGACGCCTCTCTTCTTCCATCTCCATCCTCTGCCTTAAACCCAAAGGCAAAGGCAGTTGCTGCCTTCCCTGAAACTGCTCCTGTTGAAGCATATGATGTTCCATCTGGCCGTGCTTCGCATGTGCAATGAGCTCCAACAACTCGTTTGGATGTCCTTTTCTTTGACTTTGACGACCATACTTTGCTTGAATCAGATGCTCTATCAATGATGGATCAACATGTTGTGAACACCGGTGAAGTTCATTCAAGATCTGATGCTTGAGAAGAATCTGATCAACTGCGTTATTTGATCTTGCAGCATCTGCACGTGATTGTGCTTGTGCTGCACGCATTATTTGATCTTGTAGCATGTTGACCTGATTGCTTGTCTCACGTTGAATCAATCAAATCTTCTTCTAACCATTTATTTGATCTGTATATTATGCTTGATCTAATATCGTTTACATGATTTGGTATTTATAGCTGAGAATTCAATTGGGTCAATGATCTGCAGGCGATGTGACTAAGACTATGCTGATGAATGAGGGAGTCGGTGCCTTCTATAAGGTTTGTCCTCTTCTGTGTCTCTGTTGATCTGATAATTTCAAATGATCTAATGCTTAGATTTGTAAGGATGCTAATTTGACTCGCGGATTCGGGTACCCGTGGATAACCGACCCTAACGGGGCTGCTATTACCCGCCATAACGGGTAACGGGGCGGGGATGGGTCTTAAAATTCATACCCGAAGTGGGGACGGGTCGGGGGTGGGTATGGCACTATCCGTCCGTTTAATACCCGAATATATATATATATATATATATATATATATATATATATATATATATATATATATATATATATATATATATATATAATATTGTAGAATTTATACTCAGAAGAAAGAATTGTTGCTGCACTTATGTCGAAAGATTGGTCCAGGCTAGAATTTCTTTTCTTACTCTTTGATGAAAAAATACCATGCACAATGGATGAAGCTTTTGGATTCAAATCAAATAAATTTTTTATTAATAAAAATAACGTCTTAGAAACCATTTGTATGTTTAGTATCTATTTAAAAAACCATTATTACAACGTGGATAATAAGAACACTTATCTATATTAATAACTTTTCATCTATCAAAGATATATGATCAATATAATTATTTACTATTCACCTTACCCCACTTTGCATATTTGTAAAAAATATAAGAAATAACTAACATATTAAATATGTGAACAGATGTGTTTCGCTTGCTTCTTACTATCTTCCCACAGCGCTTCAATGTTCAACTGCTAATAAAGATAAGCTCTTATATATATAATGAGGCAACAAATTCCGTCATGGGTGCATCTGAAGTTTCTTTAATTAAGCCCTACAACATTGTTTGTATATTTGTTTATTAAGCTCGAGCATTTTAAATATAAACTAGTTGAGCTTGGTTAGATCGTGATTGGCTTGGTTTGATTACAAGTTTTACTAAGTGGGTTCTTTCTGATGGATTACTTAGACAAGCTACATACACAACAGCCAGACTTGGTACATTCAGGTACACCATTAATGGTTTATTAACCAAAAAAACACAGATTTATTGTTTTTCGTTGTTTATGTGACTCTTTAATTACTTGATAGGATTCTGACAAACAAGGCACATGAAGCCAACGATGGAAAGCCACTACCTTTATATCAAAAATCTCTCTGCGGGCTGACAGCTGGTGCAATCGGAGCCTGTGTAGGAAGCGCTGCTGAGCTGGTACTCATCCATATGCAAGTTGATGCCAACCCAACGTAGTAACTACACAAACGCATTCCATGCCCTCTACAGAATCACTGCAGATGAAGGAGTTTTAGCTCTCTGGAAAGGTGTTGGTCCCACTGTGGTTAGGGCAATGGCATTGAACATGGGCATGCTTGCTTCCTATGATCAAAGTGTTGAGTTCTTCAAAGACAATCTTGGTTTTGTGAAGCAGCTACAATTGTAGGTAAGATCAAATCACAAAACCATAAAACCATAAAACTGTAATAAAACTACTAAAACAGAACTAAATGATTTTTTAATTTTGGGAATGATTTCAGGGACAAGTTCTATATCAAGGTTCTTTGCTGCTGCATGTAGTTTACCCTTTGACTTTTTGAAAATACAAATACAGAAGATCGATGTAGACTAGGACTACGGATAAGTGTTAATGCTACCTTTACCTATGTAAACTCGACCCTGTGATTAAGTATCTACGCTATTCAAGGGATCGAAATGCTATCAAGATTTTCCTTTAAACATTGATGTATTGTAGACCTGTTTAAAAAGGTCAAATTTTCCCAACTCTTTGTATTAAGAATATATCAATGAAACTGACAAGCATTTATTTGATTGGAATGACACTATTAATTTCGTATATAAAATATTAATCGCTCAATTTACTATAGTAGACTTCCATCACGAGTTTCTTACACAATACACTAAAGTCGGAACATAACACGAATGGAACCAAAATGACATAGTCCGTTTGTAACCACTGCTATAAACTTATCATCGTTTCATCTTTAAATTTTATAGCAGAAAAATGCCTCCGCGCAAATCTAACAGACGCTTCAAAAACACAACAACAACACCACCGCCACCATCTCCACCACCTCAGATGGATACTGCGGTCTTTCAAGCTGCGGTGACGGCTGCTGTAACCGCTGCTATAGCACTGTTTAGCTCCAACGGTGCCTCTGGGCCTGGAATCAGTAATCATAGTTCCAACCAAGGCGACAGCCATGGTCGACCAAGAGGATGCTCCTATAAGGACTTCTCGAACTGCAAACCCAAAGCATTTTATGGCGAAGGAGGCGTCATCGCCTTAAACAGGTGGTTCGAGAAAACTGAGTCGGTATTCGAAATATGTGCTTGTCCGGAAGAGAACAAAGTCAAATACGCTGACTGCACTTTCACCGATGGGGCCCTCTCTTGGTGGAATGGTCAGGTCAAATCTCTAACACTCCCCGTGGCTAACGCATTGAGCTGGGAGGACCTAAAAACCTTGATAGTAGCCGAGTATTGCCCAACGCGCAAAAGCGTGTCGTCTTTCGTTATGACAGGGCCTTCCTTGACACGCATTTGCGCGTCGTCTGAGCGTTTTACGACATTCATTGCGCATCGTAAGATGTTGTTTTTCTAGTATATATATATATATATATATATATATATATATATATATATATATATATATATATAATATAAAAAACGCTATACCACCGTGAGAGCCGTAATTTCAAATAGTGGCCGGTGACCGCTATTATATTTTTGAATGTGATAACTACATAACTAAGCACTTATCATGAAAATAAAAACACATTAAACACTTATCATTAAGCACTTTATCAATTAACTAAACACTTACACTTTTATCACTTTATCACAAAACACTAATCAAGAAAATAAAAACACGTTAACCATTCACTTACAAATCATAATAAGCACTTATCATGAAAAAAAAAACACATTAAGCACTTCTCAATTAAACACTTTATCAATTAAGCATTTTATCGATTAATCACTTTATCAATAAAACCAAATATAGAAACCTTACTTGTTCTTCTTGATGTGGTCCTCTGGTGGTGGCTGGTGGTCATCGAGAAAAACCCCAAATCATTTTTTTGATAAATCTGGAAAAAATAAAAGAACCACTACCTACTGTCCTACTGTGATGGTCGGAAATAGGTGGTTGATTGTGGTGGCCAGTGGTCATCCGTTGACTCTCTTATATTGGGAAATCAACCAAAAAAATGATAACATACGAAAAATTAAGCACAACAATCGACTAAATGAAAGGGAAAAAGCAAACCAGCGTCGCCGACAAGTTTTGGTTGTTGGTTCCCATTTATCAATTAGATTGGTGCGGAAAGATAATATTAAGAAGATATATTCAACTTCAGTTTTAAATATATAAATTGGGGAGAAAATATATTCACCTTTAGCATGTAATGTAGCCTTAATGCATAAACCACACATTCAAAAGCAAACAAAACCGAATCACATAAAGGGAAATAAATATAAATGATCGTTTTGTGAGCAACAACCAAAAAGTAAATTGCAAAATCCAAATCAACGACTACTCTTTTTCATCATATGCAAAGATAAAAGTGGCAACAAGTCAGGACTCATCTAAGAGATTAACATTCAAACATTCATGTGGGAAATACCATTGATTAGCAGTAAAGAACCTGCTATGTCTAACAAATCTATGGTGTATGTGTTGTGACCCAGAGTCAGCCCACGACTCTGGCTTAACAGCAGCACCATAGACTGCATAGTTGCTAAGAAAGATTGCAGGTTCATGTTCTTCTCTTGTATCTTCAACCTGCTCCCATTCCATTTTGCCAAAATCTAGTTTATGAACCTTTAACGGATTTGCCGAATAATAAGCGATCCACATAATAAAGGCTTTCACCCCAACTTACAAGCAGCAACGAAGAATATATGGCTTCATTCAGAAAATTCTTGGTTTCCACCAACGTCAGTTCAGGCTTAGGATTGAGTGTGAGTTCACGTAAATGTCTTACTTTCCATGAATTGGCATCAGAGCATATGGTATATATCTTCTTCTTGAAAACATATAAATTATAGATGTTAAAAGTGGAGGAGACACGATTCCATTCTCCCTCACCCGCGATAGAATACCATATACAATTACTGTCTACATCTAACATAACAAACACATATCTTGATATTGAGGGTGAAAAGACAAGGACAGCATTGATATATGGTCTACCATTAAAGTTAAATGGGACACGAGGGAAATGAAATTCATGGTTATAAACCACCTGAAGAAGATTAAATAACCACAGGTTGATCCTACAAGGGTGCTGCAAACAGAATTGCGTAGTATGGTTTTGAACTTTCTTCCTTCATAATCCTCTAAGCAGCATTCCTTATCATTATAACTATGAGTAGTAGTATTAGAGATACGCATTAACATGGGTGGTTTTGACACCATAAACCTTTTCCTGTTAGCGAGTGCCACTGACCTCATTGACTTGCAAACTCCACAAAATGCAAAAAAATCAAAAAATCCCAGTTGCATCATAACTAATGAAAGCACATCATGGTTAAGATCTGACCAAGGTCTCACATTATCCTTGTCACAAGTCTTGATGTTACCACTAGATGATGCATCATCATGATTCTGATTTGCAGTCATCGACATTCCTACACTTGAAAAAAAAACAATAATTACATTCCAGAGGCCTTGATAAACGACAAGTCCACATAATCATGCAGTACTTGAATAAGCATATTCAATTATCCGCATGGCTGTGGAGCCTCGTTATCTACAGCCAAACTATATATACATAATAAAGATCAATTAATTCAAACACTTGAAGAAACGATTATGACCAAATAATCACAGAATCAAAACACTTCAAGCAACATTGATCGACACTCAACACAAGAAACGAAACTCAAATTAGTAAACAAGTCAAAAATTAAATCTTGAAACACGTAAAGATAATCAAATCACCTAAACGAAACTAAGAGACGGTTTCCCGATCAAATGAACTCCGACTTCCTAAAGAATGAAAAGATATAGGGTTGAATGCGAGATGAAGGAAAATAGCGAATGAACCGAACGATATTTTGGGGTTTGTATTTTTTATAATTGCTATGTGACTTTTGGCGAGAAAATTGTTAGTGTTTTTTATTTTTTATAACGGAAACGCAAGAATCCAAGTCGAGTATTTGGGGATTGCTTTTGAGAAAAAGGATAAATTAGTCCTTTTTTTTTAGTTAATTAATCAAAAAAGAGTCTAATCTTTAAAAAAGTCATATTTTTAGAGAAGACATTTGTGAAACGACCGTTTTGAAGATTTTTGTAGATAACAGGTAACTAATGAACATGGACAAAAACTGGCTAGAATTTATTATTAAAGAAAAAATGTTATGACAAAGAAAAGGAAAGATAACTATAAATAGGAAAACTATATAGTGTTAACATATCTAAGGTGCTGTTTGTTTTTTCGAAGAGAAAATTCATTAAATCTGCGGATCACCTCTGCAATCCTCCGTAGCAGAAGAAGTGGAACAAACGGCTGCAACCTATAATAAGAAACGTGTTTGTTTTTTAACATCTGCAGACTGCTGCAGTAAGGTAAAATTTAAATAAACTAACTTTATAAATTGAAAATAGTTCTCAACACCGAAATTTTAATAATTGTAGTCTTAAAACATTGAAAGAATACTAAAAAGAATATGTAAAAAAACAAAAATATAAAACTTTTTAAAAAAACTTAAAAAAATATAAAAGAAGCTAACAGTTTTATTCTAGAATAAAACTAATTGTAAAAAACATAAAAAAAGAAAATAATAAAAAAAATTAAGAAAGTATTGCAAACGATGTCTACAAAATTCGTAACAATTACACACGTTAAAAAAGATGCAACTGAAACTGAAAATACTATTAACAGAAACGGTAAAAAAATTAAAAAATCAACGTTTTTTTAAATCAAGTTAAAAAAATTTGTGGAAACTATAAAAAGAAATTGTATCAAAGCCGTAAATAAAAGTTTACAAAAATCAAGGTTTTAAAAAAAAGTTTAAAAAAAATAAGTTATAACAAAGTTCTAAAAAAACACTTGGAAAAAATGAAAGCTGAAGAGGTTTGAAGAAACAAGTCAAGTGCTGCGTCACGCAGCACATGCGCATATGTTTTGTAGTCTGAAGCCTTCCAAAAAACAAACTGTTGCGAGAGGAAAGTGTTGCGCGTGTGCTGCGCTGTGACAACCGTCAATTTTTGGTCAAGTCAAAGTCAACCAAACTCATCAAGTCAAACCGGTCAACTCATCTAACCCTTGTATATTAGGGTTTCCAATATGATTCATATTGTACTACTCGCAACCTTAATATAAAGTATCACTTAGAGTTTTCACGTGTTCAGAAATTCTAAACCCTAATCAGGGTACGTGATGAATCTACTCCATAAAACATTATTCCATACCCCTCGAGAGCGTATAACATTCATAACAAGGCTTAATAGAGTGTAAGAACCTTGCGTTGCGAAGCCAAACACTCAAAAAGGTCACAAACATAGTCTCTCTCAACCTCTTTCACTCTAACTCTCCCAAATCTCTCTAAGTATGAGAAATCTCTCCAAGTATGTGAAATCTCTCCCAAATCTCTCCAAGTATGTGAAATCTCTCCCAAATCTCTCTAAGTATGTGAAATCTCTCCCAAATCTCTCCAAGTGTGTGAAATCTCTCCCAAATTTCTCTCTATATGAGAAATCTCTCCAAGTGTGTGAAATCTCTCCCAAATCTCTCTCTGTATGAGAAATCTATCCAAGAATGTGAAATCTCTCCCAAATCTCTCTCTGTATGAGAAATCTCTCCAAGTTTGTGAAATCTCTCCCAAATCTCTCTAAGTATGTCAAATCTCTCCAAGTATACCAAATCTCTCCCAAATCTCTCTCAAAATCTCTCTTAACTTCTTATAATCACTCGGGGCATCCCAACCTGTAATTTAGTCGAAAACCGCTCGAAAACAGAAGTTTACGCGAAAAACCCTCGTAAGGAGCCGAACCTTCTTAGGAACCGAACCTTCTTTGGAACCGAACCTCCCTTAAGGAACCGAAACCTCCTGAGAACCGAAACTACTAAGGAACCGAAAGTAACCTTCGGTCCGAGAGGACTACCTTCGGTCCAAGCCTTCACCTTCGGTCCGAGATGCACAGCTTAAGGAGCCGAACCCTACTCTCGGTTCCCCCATCAACTTTCGGTTCTAAGGGCTGGGACCGAACCTCCGGCCCAGAATTTCGGAAATTGGCAATTTTTGCCCGGTTTTCAATATTTTTAGCGTTTTGAGCCCGTTTTTCGTTATTTTAACACGGGATTTTCACCCAAACTTATATTTTGACATATAAGACCCCATATTTCCATAATCTAATCACATTTTGAGGATAATCATTGTCTAAGATTAAAAATATAGTGGGTGAGATACTTGTAGTGGAGTGCTGACTTTGCCTTAGTGTATGACACAAGCAACCACCCCATGGCCACTCAATGACCAGCCCTTGTCCTTCCACCATACCTGGTCATTTCATTGTCCTTTCCCACCATTTTTCCAGCCACACTCTTAGTCAAAGGCTAGAAACCCTTACCCCTCCTCACATTTCTCTCATCCTCCACCAAAGAACAAACTCCATTCTCTCTCACTTCTCTCTCTAAATTTTGAGATTTCAAGGCTGATTTTCAAGTTCTCCATCTACTTTTGGTAAGTAATATTATCCTTCATATGATTATTCCACCTCTTTCTACTCAAATCATAGGTTGCTTACACAAACTTCATCATATTTGTGTTAGTTCTTCGAATCTTCAAGCAACCTTCTAAGTGTTCTTGAGTTGAACACTACCTTTCTTCAACATCCACCCACTAAAATCACACAAGGTGAGTTCATACCCCTATCTTTTCATGTTTTTCTTAAGTTTTAAGGGGGGGAATACAAGTTAAAACAACAAGAACACAACTAAACTCACCCAACATCTTTCTTCAGAAAAGTTTAACTCCATTCACGGACTGTTTTGGTCAACTTAAACATTTTAGTTTTCAAAATTGTATTAGGTGCAAATAGTTCAGGTTCATACCTCTAAAATGGCTACTTGCACATCTCCATACGATTTTTCTACAATTTATGGTGATTTTTACAAAACAGCCTATCATTTCAAGAACAAATCCGGACCAGTCTGTGAATATGGACATTCTTACACAAGTTAAATGTCTTTAAAAATCACACTAAAAATTAGGAACAAACTAGAAACATTTTCCAAACTCTCAGAATTTACGGATTCTGATTTGAACCTTGGATGATTTTTCTATAAATCTTCTAAGAACAGGAATAGAAATGTTAACACTAGAAAAATGTTATCAAATCCACTTACACCTTGTAACTTGTTGAGCAAGGTGTGTATCATTGTGTGCATATATGTGTTATATTATATGTCATTTTGTCTTGGTAAATAGACATACATCAGAAAACAAATGGATTTTTACCTCCACAAGTATGGTAATTAATTACAATAAACAAAGTTTATATCCATTGCATACAAACATTTTGATAAACCATCGTAAGTACAGTTTATGTTCACTACTACTACCACTATGTGATAAACTATAATAGGTATAGTTTATGATTCATTTTACATAACAAACACTACTTTTACAAGAAAACTATACATTACAAACGTTTTGATAAACTATAACAAAGATAGTTTATATTATACGAGCAAACTTCCTACGAAAGGTTTTATTTCTACATAAAAGAGTTTTCGGATCATCACACGTAAATCTGTTAATGAATAACTTTGTGAGATATTCGCTTCACGTTACTTCCAAGGTAACAAAATCAAAAGTCCTGTAATTGTAACCAGAGTCTCTTTGAGGGAGAGCGTGATAGTTGTGTATAGATCTATATTGGGCTTGACACCCCACACCTCGTTGTTAGCTGCAGTAGGACCTCGAGGTCTACGAGTGACAAATGTCATATCAGTTCCGACGCCTGAAGAACGTCGTTTCAGGCCAACCAGGTCATAGCATGGTTATAATAACTCACTTAGGGTATTCGCAAAACATAAGATTTACGCGGTGTTCTATCACTAAATCGTATTTACGACAACCTAAACATGTACATATGTTCATTAATTTAAAACATTCATTTTTAGGCTTATATGATATGCATACTACCAATTTAAAGTATTCCAAAGTTTTAAGACTTTTATACATGAATACTTTTATGCATAAGGCTTTACACACATATACAAGTTTAAAGTATTTAAAAGCTTCAAGACTTAGTTTATTTAACTAAATTTTATATAACTTATATACACTGGGTGATTATAGAAGGAACCTATGGATCTTCTAGAGTACATTATTTCCTAACATAGAAACTTTCATTTCACATCTCATAAAGAAAATATTGGATTTTCTGGAATCACACTCATTCTCTTTTACAAAGGAAAAACGATTTCTTTCTCAAATAAAAATCTTATGAACTCACCAACTTAATTGTTGACACTTTTTCAAAACTACTTGTATTCTCAGGAAATCAGTGAAACAGAAACCAATAGCATCTTGAGGATGAGACGTTAAATCGTCAAACAGTTCATTTTATCATAATAATGTAAGTGATTTTGAACATGTAAACATATACTATGATGTAACCTTTTCAATTATATTTATGATGGTTACATTTACTTTGAGCACTATTATACTCGTTGTTGTGATAGTATACATGAAGTCCTCCACTCCCGGACGTTTCCGTCATCCTTGGTTTGGGGGTGTGACATGCGCCGCGCAGCAAAAAGTGGTTTGAAGAGTTTTTTTTAAAAAAACAAACAACACCTAAATGGCTAAATACAAGCCCAAACATAAAATAAGTCTAAAATATTTTATTATGCTAACATCTACTTGGAAACAATACGACAACAATAAGCATTCATGGTATTTGTCGGTCAAGAAGGGAAATGAGATGCTGACTGTGCCTTTATAAAAATATCAAAAATATGGAAAGTCGATGGTACATATGGTAGAAAGATGGTTTTGAACGGAAAATGATTGTGAGTGAAATGACAATCAATACTAATTTATTTGCTTATGGAAAACGAAATTATTCACAGTTTCTATCGCACTGTTCTTGTCACAATATAAGGGGGTAGGCTGAGAAATAACAATACTCATATATGCCATAAACCAATGTAATCAAACAATCTCACAAGTAGCTAGTCACAACCATAACACAATACTCAGAAGCTTCTATAGAGGAGTGAAACACAACATACAGTTTCTTAATTTTACATAACATCAATGAATCTCCAAGAAAAATACAGAATTTAGTGGTGGAGTTGTGATCATTAGGATTGTTATCTAAATCAACATCAGTGTAGGCATGCAACTCTAGAGAAAACATGGAAAGGAACAATGTACTCTAAATTTGCGTCATACGAAGATATCTCAAAATATAAAGAACAACTCCCCAATGAATAATCATAGGAGCAGTAACAAACTGGCTAACCACGTGAACTACAAAAGCTATGTCGGAGAGAGTAAGTGTAAGATAAACCAAACTACCCACAATAAGCCCAACTTAAAACTGTTTTGACCCAACTTGGAATAAAATATTTGATATTTTTTTGGTCCTCCGGTACATTCAAATCGTAGATTCGCCACTGCTTCTTGTAGTGTTAAAATTTAAAGTTGGGGAGTCTCAAGAATTTAAAGTTTCTCGATCTTAGCCAAAATCGGTTGACTGGTCCAATTCATCAATCTTTTGCTTCCATGGTCAATCTCACCCAATTAGAACACCTTGACCTTTCAAGAAACACTTTCAGTGATACCCTCCCATCTCAGTTGTGGAGTCTCAATCCCTCCATCTTTTGGTTCCATGATCAATCTCCTTATACCTAAACTTGAGCACAAATCAACTAAATGGATCCATTCCACAGGAAGTCCGTAACTTGCAAAAGCTAGAAACGTTGAACCTCAGTCACATTGATGTTCATAGGCCAATTCCGTGGGCTTTGGTTTGTTTTTTTTTTTTTTTTTGTTTTTGTTTTTTGTTGTTTTTTTTAACTCAACTGAAAATTTTAAACCTTCGTATGAATCGCATCAGACGCTCCATTCCACTATATATATCATATTTGAAGAACTTGGAACACCTCGACCTTAATTATAACTATCTATTTGGTCACAGTCATCCTGAATTTGGAGAGCTGCCGGACTTGTTTACCTAGATTTCTCATCAAATATTTTGTCAGGAAATGAGTCTTTCCTGAATCCGTGTAGTTTGAACCATCTAGACCACTCTGGTAATCATTTCACTGGTATCCCAATGTTAACTGTTTGCAACGGTATACAACAATTGGACTTTAGCCTTAATAACTTCATTCTAGAAGGGATTAATTTATCAACTTTCCCAACTTTGAGTTACTTTAATCCACCTCTGAGTGATCTCATTAGAAACGTTTCTGAGAATGGTTAGCAGCCTCCAAAGAACACCAGCAAAGTAACAAGCAACTTAAGAGAACAACCAACCTTCAAAGAACACTTTCCAAGAAACAAACAAATCATCCTTTTAGAGATTTTGCTTTCCATGTTGGTTGGATTATGCTCAATAATGCTTGGTTATGCGCTTTACCATCATAAAAAGGCTACCATCGAGAAAAGTCGGATAGAAAAAAAAAACATCGAGATGTGTGTTGCATATGGAATTACGATGGACCAATTGCATTTGAAGACTTTATCAAGGCAATAGAGGAATTCGATCTTAAATATTGCATTGGAACCGGTGGCTATGCTAGTGTTTACGAAGCCAAGCTAACCAATGGTAAAACATTTGCTTTCGAGAAACTCCATCGGTTTGAAGCCAAGCAACCAGCATTCGACAAGAATTTCAAGACTAAGAACCAAGTTTTAACAAACCTAAGGCACAAAAATATTGTGAAACTCTATGGTTTCTGTTTGCATAACACATACAAGTTGCTTGTATATAAATACATGGAAAAGGGGAGCCTCTTTTGCGCACTGAGTGGCAGTGAATTAGCTGTTTAATTGGATTGGGAAACGAGGGTGAAGTGGTGAACATTATCCAACAGGTAGCCCATGCCTTGGCCTACATGCATCATGATTACAGCCCACCCATCATTCATCGAGACATATCAAGCAACAACATCCTCTTGAACTCAGAAATGGAAGGATTTGTTGCTGACTTTGGAGTAGGCAGAGTACTCGACCCTGATTCCTCCAACCAAACCAGTGTCACAGGAACTTTAGGATACATTGCTCCAGGTATTTGTAAACTTATGATTCTTTAATCGCTATTAGCTGTTCAAGTTTTACTAACAAACCTTTCATATAATTATGTAGAACTTGCCTATAACATCATTGTGACCCAAAAATGTGATGTGTATAGCTTTGGAGTTCTTGCACTTGAAACAATTGGAAAGAATATTGGACAAGTGTCTGCCTTATCCAACCAGCAGACTGATTGAAAAAGAAATTCTCAAGAGTTTATGATGTTGCACTGGCATGCATTCTCATGGATCCAAAGTCTCGTCCGACAATGAGAAATGTCTCTCAAGAATTATCCAAGTGAGGCACCATTTGTACCTGATGACCATAAAATAGTACTATCATCTTTGTAACAATAAGGCTGAAAGACAAAACGGAAACTTGATATGAATTTAATAATTTCCAGTTCCAAATAGATAAATTAATTGGTGACAATATATATGCAACTTTAGCTTGTAATCTAGCATTAATGCATTAACCACACATCCAAAAGCAAACAACACCAAATCACATAAAGGGAAATAAATATAAATGATCGTTTTGTGACCAACAACCAAAAAGTAAATTGCAAAATCCAAATCCACGACTGCTCTTTCTCAACATATGCAAAGATAAAATTAAGGGGCAACAAGTCACGACTCATCTAAGATATTAACATTCAAACATTCATGTGGGAAATACCATTGATTTGCAGTAAAGAACATGCCATGTCTAACAAATCTCTGGTGTATGTGTTGTGTCCCAGAGTCAGCCCACGACTCCGGCTTAACAGCAGCACCATAATTCAAGTTGCTAAGAAAGAATGCAGGTTCATGTTCATCTCTTGTATCTTCAACCTGCTCCCATTCCATTTTTCCAAAATCTAGTTTATGAACATTTAACGAATTGCCGAGTAATAAGCTTTCCACATAATAAAGGCTTTCACCCCAACTTACAAGCAGCAACGAAGAATATAGGCCTTTATTCATAAAATTCTTGGTTTCGACCAACCTCAGTTCAGGGTTAGGATTGAGTGTCAGTTCACGTAAATGTCTTACTAATTCCCATGAATTGGCACCAGAGCATATGGTATATATCTTCTTCTTGAAAACATGTAAACTCGTGATGCGGAAAGTGGAGTAGACATGATTCCATGCTCCATCACCCTCTATAGAATACCATATGCAATGACTGTTTCTATCCAACATAACAAATATGTATCTTGATATTGAGGGTGAAAAGACAAGGACAGCATTGATCTTTGGTCTACCAAGAACGACAAATGGGACACGAGGGAAATGAAATTCATGCTTAGTGATCGGATTCGCAAGCAGGAAGTCGCAGGTTGTAAGCCACCTGAAGAAGATTAAATAACCACAAGTTGATCCAACAAGGGTGCTGCAAACAGAATTGGGAAGTATGGTTTTGAACTTCCTTCCTTCACAATTCTCTAAGCAGCATTCTTTATCGTTATAAATAAGAGTCGTCCTAGAGATATGCATTAACATGGGTGGTTTTGACGCCATAAACTTTTCCCTGTTAGCGAGTGCCACTGATCTCATTGACTTGCAAACTCCATAAAATGCAAAAAAATCAACAAATCCCAGTTGCATCATAACTAATGAGAGCACATCATGGTTAAGATCTGACGAAGGTCTCATATTATCGTTGTCACAAGTACTCTTGATCCTCTTACCACTAGATGATGCATTATCATGATTCTGATTTGCAGTCATAGACATTCCTACACTTGAAAAAAACAATAATTACATTCCAGAGGCCTTGATAAACGCAAATTCCACATTATCATACAGTACTTGAATAAGCATATTCAGTTATCTGCATTGGTGTGAAGCCTCGTTAACTACAGACAAACTATACATAATCAAGATCAACTATTTCAAACAATTGAAGAAACGATTATGACCAAATAATCACAGAATCAAAACACTTCAAGTAACATTTGTTGGGGTTGGAAAACTCTTCTATTAAACACGAAAATAGAATTACAATAGGAGGAGCAACTCTCACACTCAACTATTACAAAAAACCAACCCTCTCACTAACACTCTCACTCTAAGTGTTATACTATTTGTTTCTCTGTATTTGGGATGCATACAACTGAAGAATGAAGTCTCTATTTATAGTCTTGGCAGCCACCATTGTAGTTGCCTTCATTAATTGTGTTCATCATAGGGTGGGAAGAAAAACTTGTCCCGTAGGTTTCATTTTGTCAACAATGATGGCTACTGTAGCTTTGGAGGCTTTGGAGGCTGGAACACAACAAATCTCCCCCTCCAGTCTCCGTCCAACAATCTTCATCCCAACTATGTCAGCACATAGTCTGTGTTTCTCTTGTGTCACCACCTTTGTCAACATGTCTGTAGGATTGTTGTTGGTGTTGATCTTTAACAACTTTAATTCTCGTCCCTCAATTGCTTCTCTAAGCCAGTGATAACGTATATCAATATGTTTTGTGCGGGAATGGTACATCGAGTTCTTACTCAGGTCCATAGCACTCTGACTATCGCAATGAATGATGTACTCTTCTTGTGGAAAGCCTAATTCTTGAAGAAACTGTTTCATCCATATAAGCTCCTTCCCAGCTTCAACGGCAGCAATATACTCGGCTTCTGTTGTTGACAGTGCGACACACTTCTGTAACTTGGATTGCCACGAGATAGCTCCCCCTGCCAAAGTAAAAATGTAACTTGATGTAGATTTCCTACTATCAAGTTCTCCTGCCATATCGGCATCTGTATAACCTTCCACGATTGGCTTTGCTCCCCCGTAGCATAAACATAGTTTCGAACTACCCTTCAGGTATCGAAGTATCCATTTGACTTCTTCCCAATGTTGTTTTCCCGGATTAGCTAGATATCTACTCACAACACCGACAACATGAGCAATATCTGGTCTTGTACACACCATTGCATACATAAGACTTCCTATGGCTGAGGAATAGGGGACTGCCTTCATCTCTTCTTTTTCTTTCTCAGAAGATGGACAATTTTTCTTACTCAACTTGAAGTGGTTAGCCAAGGGCGTACCAACGGGCTTGGCATTTTCCATGTTTAACTTTTTGATCACACGTTCAACATACTCTTCCTGTGATAAGAACAATTTTCTTTATTTTCTATCACGGATAATTTTCATGCCCAATATATGTTGTGCTTGGCCTAAGTCTTTCATATTAAAGAACTTAGACAAATCTTTCTTCAAGTTGTTGATCATCATTGCATCTTGGCCCACTATCAACATATCATCCACGTAGAGCAAAAGGATGACAAATTTCCCATCTGGAAACTTCTTCAGATAGACACAATGGTCTGCAACAGTTCTCTTGTACTCATGATTTATCATAAATAAATCAAACTTCTTGTACCACTGCCTTGGGGCTTGCTTAAGACCATAAAGGCTCTTATTTAATTTACAGACGAGATGCTCTTTCTTTGGGACTTTAAAGCCATCAGGCTGCTCCATGTATATTTCTTCATCCAAATCACCATGGAGAAAGGCTGTTTTCACATCCATCTGCTCAAGTTCAAGATCTAGACTGACAACTAATCCGAGTACAACTCGAATAGACATCATCTTCACAACCGGCGAAAAAATTTCATCAAAGTCGATTCCTTCTTTTTGTTGGAAACCTTTGACAACGAGTCTCGCCTTATACTTCATAGTATTTCCCTTGCCGTATTTCTTCAACTTGAAAACCCACTTGTTTTTCAAGGCTTTCTTTCCTTTGGGAAGTTTTACCAACTCATATGTTTGATTCTTCTGCAAAGAATTCATTTCTTCTTCCATGTCCTTTTGCCAATTTGCTTTGTCAATATGAGATTGAGCTTCTTGAAAGCTCTCTGGCTCCCCCTCACTAGTAAGAAGGATGTAGTTTGAAGTCGGATATCTTCTTGATGGAGCATGGACTCGTTCGGATCGTCGAAATTGAGTTCCTTCATTTTGCAACTTCTGGCAGTGGATCTGAATTATCCAGGGGTGGAAGCTCCCCCCTGCTCAACACCTTCTTGATCTGCATCATCGACTTCTTCATCCACTTCTTCAGCGGAAACATCTTCTTTATTTTCAGATATTATATCTGAAACTTTGGAGCTTTGTTGCTTGTTAACCGCTGCCTTGAAATCATAATACTAGTTTTCATAGAAAACCACATCTCTACTTCGAATAACCTTCTTTAGTTCTGGGTCCCATAGCCTGTACCCGAACTCTTCATCTCCATATCCAATAAAGATGCATGGAGTGGATTTGAGGTCCAACTTCTTCCGCAATTCACTTGATACATGTGCAAACGCCTTGCACCCAAATACTCTCAAGTGAGAATATGATATGTCTTTACCCGTCCATATCTTCTCCGGAACTTTAAAATTCAATGGAGCGGAAGGTGACCTATTTATTAGATAGCAAGATGTCAATACAGCTTCACCCCAGAATGGCTTTGGGAGTTTAGTCATGTTCAGCATGCATCGAACTTTCTCAACAATGGTGCGATTCATCCGTTCTGCTACACCATTGTGTTGTGGGGTTCGTGGGACAGTCTTTTCATGTCTGATACCATGTTCCGTGCAGTATGTAGAGAACTTACGGGAATAGTACTCGCCTCCATTATCTGATCTGAGACATTTCAACCTGCTTGCTTGTTTGTCTTTCCACCATTGCATGAAAAGCTTTGAAGCGGTCTAATACTTGGTCCTTCGTCCTCAGACAGTATGCTCATACCTTTCGTGATGCATCGTCAATGAATGTCACAAAATACCGACTTCCACCAAGAGATTCTACTTCAATGGGTCCACATATGTCGGAGTGGACAAGGCTCAACAACTCAGAGCGGTTCTTTCTTGTGGAGCTAAAGGAAACTCTATGTTGTTTCCCAAATAAGCAGTATTCACAGGGATCCAGGGCAACATCTTTTGCCATTGAAATGGACTCCTTCTTTGCAAGAGTCGTCAATCCCTTCTCGCTCATGTGGCCTAGTCTTCTATGCCACAAGTTTGGTGATGTCTCTTCTTCAACAATATTGAGACTTGGCTGAAGTAGCTTAGCATGGCTTTTATAAAGACTACCATCAAGTTGTCCCCTTGCAACAACCGTAACACCTTTTAACAACTTCCAGGTACTATTTTTAAATTTATTATCATATCCTTGGACGTCAAGAGCTCCAACTGAGATAAGATTCATTCTCAGCTCTGGGACATGTCGAACATCTTTCAACACCAATGTACATCCAACATTTGTCTTTAAATGCACATCACCAATACCAGCAATGCTTGAGAAACTAGTGTTTCCCATCTTCACGGTACCATGGTCTCCGGGTTTATAAGTAGTGAATAAATCCTGGTTTGGAGTCGAATGATATGATGCAGCACTATCAATCACCCACTCATCATTATGAGTTCCAACATGTAGGCATGTTTCATCCTCGTATGTAACAAGGGCAACGTCTTGTGTTATGGTGACCATGGTTTCACCATTCTCCCTACTTGAATTTTGGCTTGTCTCGGCCTGCTCTCGTAAAAGCCTTCATCAATCACTTCTTTTGTGGCCATAATAATTACAGTGATTGCAATAGCCTTCAAACCATGTATTTGAAGATTTACCTCGCTCTCGCGATCTCCCTCGATCTCGTGATTTCCCACGATCTTGGGATCTTCCTCTACTTTGACCATGTCTGCCTCTGCCTCGACCTCTACCTCGGCCTCCAGTTCTGCCTCCGCCTCTTTCTTTATTTTCTTACACGAGGGCAAAAGACTGGTCTGTACCAGCTTCTTTCCTTCTGGCTTCCTCGTTCATTAGGGCGTCTGTAACCATCTCCATTGTCACTTTACCAACGGGGGCAGAATTGCTGAGAGTCACAACAAGCTTCTCCCAATTATCTGGTAGAGAACTGAAGAGCAATATGGCTTGTTCCTCGTCTTTGAGAACCCAATCAGCAGCACCGAGCTGGTTTACGAGATCCTGGAACTGACTCGTATGCTCGGTTATGGACGTACCACTTCGTAACTTGTGGTTTACAAGGCGCCTCATCAGCAAGGTCTTGTTGCGTGTCGTCTTTGCTTGATACATATTCTCGAGCTTCTCCCAATGTTTGTACGCGTCTGTCTCTTGAGAGACATGATGAAAAACACTATGGTCGATCCACTGTCGAATTTGCGCCACCGTTTTCTTGTTTATTCTCGTCCAAACTTCGTCTGTCTTCGTGTCGGGTTTGATGCCTTGCTTTTCTATAGGCTCTACTAAATCTTTCAGATTAAGCAAATCTTCCATCCTTGGCTTCCACATGTTGTAATTTGTGGGCGTAAGTCGAACCATCGTAATCGTACTTGTAGATTCCATCGAAAATACTTGTAATGTGCTTTTACAAATATTTCAAGGAAAAATTAGATAAAATCGAGCTCTCGGTTGGATTAGGAAGCGTCAAAAATGGTGGGGTAGAATTTTTCGGGCTCAAAATATACTTTCTTGAAAAGTTATGTGCTAATTTGTAGCTTTTCAGAACTATAGGGGCTAAACTGTAATTTTCGGAACTTACAGGGGCCAATATGAAATGTTTCTGCGAGCCAGGGAGCTTTATGAAACTGTTCAGAACTTCAGGGACCAAAACAGTTATTTTCCGAATAACAGGGACCGAACTGTAGTTTTTCAGAAACAAAGGGACCTTTCTGCAATTTTCTGGAACTTCAGGGGCTAAAACGCAACTTTTCTGAACTATGGTCAAACGCTGACGTCA